GAAAGTACCATCAATTCGGACCATAAGGTAATTTCATTTAATATAAATCTTCAAAAGTCCCAAGGAGTGGACATTCAACGTACTACTAGAATATACAATACTAAAAAAGTTAATTGGGGGGATTTTCGGGAAAATTTAAATAAAGTTTGGGAGGAGAACAAAATTAATATTAATAACATAAACGAAATTAAAGACATTAAAAATTTAGAAATAGCCATTCAAAATTATACAAAATCAATACAGAAAGTTTGTGAGGAATATTGTAAAAAAGAACCTAAAAATAAAAAAGTGAACTTACCTTGGTGGAACGAAGCGCTGACAGCCAAAAAGCGGGAGGTCTTGCGCAAGAAGCGCAGAATCTCCTGGGCTGCACCGGTGAGAAGACAGTGGGTCATCGAGCAGTACCTGAAAGAAAAAAAGGAATATGAAACACAAATTAAAACAGCACAAACAACCAGCTGGAAGGCCTTCTGTAGTCGTCAGGACAGGGAGTCGATGTGGGAGGGTATATATCGGGTGATAGGCCGCACGATGACGAGAGATGAGGACCTTCCCATCATGAAGGATGGGGTGGCCTTAGGTGCGGAGGACTCTGCCAGGGCCCTTGCTGAGAAATTTTACCCGGAGGATTCACCATCGGAAGATGCTGTGGAACACACAATTATTAGACAAAAAGCCTCGAAAATAAACGCTGGGCCGCATGGTGACCCATGCTTTCAAGAGTTTACCAGAAGCGAAGTTGTGTGGTCCACAGCATCTTTCAATCCCAAGAAGGCCCCTGGTATCGACGGCCTTACCGCCGATATCTGTTCCGTGGCCATCACCTTAAACCCGGACCTTTACCTAGCCTTGGCGAATAAGTGCCTGAGACTGGCCTACTTCCCCACCATCTGGAAGGAGGCTGTAGTGGTGGTCCTGAGAAAGCCAGGGAAAAGTGACTATACGCACCCGAAATCCTTCAGGCCCATCGGCTTGCTGCCCGTGCTCGGGAAGATTTTTGAGAAGATGGTGGTCCGTCGCATGAGGTGGCACATATTGCCTCAAATTAGTTTGAGGCAATACGGTTTCATGCCGCAGCGATGCACGGAGGACTCCCTCTATGATCTGTTGCGGCACATACACGCGGGGCTTTCTGAAAGGAAGCTCATCGTGTTAGTGTCGCTCGACATAGAGGGGGCTTTCGACAACGCATGGTGGCCGGCCATCCGTTGTGGTCTGGCCGAGGCCAACTGCCCGGTGTACCTGAGGCGAATCATCGATAGTTACCTTAGTAACAGGATGGTTCGCGTCAGGTATGCCGGAGCGGAATGGGCTAAAACCACCTCAAAAGGGTGCGTGCAGGGGTCGATCGGGGGACCCACTCTGTGGAACATGTTGTTAGACCCCCTTCTAAAACAACTCGAGAGTGCAGGAGAGTACTGCCAAGCCTTTGCGGACGACGTCGTGCTGGCCTTCACGGGGGACAATGCCTACGACCTCCAAATGAGAGCCAATGAAACCCTCGCACGTGTGCATGAGTGGGGTGTCGTAAACAAGCTAAACTTCGCACCATCCAAAACAAAAGCAATGGTGATAACGAGGAAGCTAAATTACGACACCCCACGCTTGCGCATGGGCGGGGGCGACATTGAGCTCTCTAGGGAATTCAAGATACTTGGGCTAACGCTGGACGACAGGCTAACCTTTAACCAGCACGTAGAAAACGTTTGCAGGAAAGTGCAAGGCCTGTACGCCCAGCTATCCAGAGCAGCCAGGGTCCAATGGGGGTTGTCCCCCGGGGTGGTCAGAACGATCTACACGGCGGTCGTGGAGCCGGTGATTATGTACGCTGCGAGTGCATGGTCGCCGGCTACGCGTAAGAAGGCGGTTAGAAGGAGGTTGGAAGCCGTTCAGAGGGGCTTCGTTCAAAAAATCGTCAAAGCCTACAGGACGGTCTCACTAAACTCTTCCCTGCTGCTCGCCGGACTACTACCGCTGGACCTCAGAGTCCAGGAAGCAGCCGCCCTGTATGAGGTCAAAAGAGGTGTGTCCCGGCGGGTGGTAGGGGATCGAGAAATAGAAAAGAGAACGTCCTGGAGAGACATGGCGCATCCAGCGGACGGGACGGAGCTAGAGTTCGACTGCCTGGAAGACGGTGCAATGCCGTCAGAAAATGGTATAAACATTTTCACGGATGGGAGTAAGCTGGAGGGTAAGGTTGGAGCCGCACTGTCCGTATGGCACGGTGATGCGGAAACCAAAACCCGAAAGCTGAAACTGGAAAACTATTGCACCGTCTTTCAGGCGGAACTACTGGCGCTTAACGAAGCGGTTAAATGCGCGCGAAGTTCCTCAGAATGTTGCCACAACATCCTGTCGGATTCCCGATCGGCCCTACAAATGGTCATAAACCCTAACGCGAACCACCCTCTGGCAGTACAGGTAAGGAACAATATAAAAGAGATTAGGAAACAAGGCAGAAGAATAAAATTATACTGGATTAGAGCGCATATCGGAACGGTCGGAAATGAAAGGGCTGATGAGTTGGCAAAAGAGGCTGCGTTAAAAACTAAAAGGAAGGCCGATTACGACAAATGTCCGGTTTCATTCGTCAAGCGACAAATCCGAAAGGACTCGCTTGACGAATGGAACCGGAGATATATGGAAGGGACGACAGCCTCTACGACAAAAATCTTCTTCCCAAACGCGATAGAGGCATATAAAATAGTTAGAAAAATCGAGATGGAGGCAATAATAGTGCAGGTGTTCACGGGGCACGGCGGGTTCTCCAAATATTTGCATCGTTTTAAGTGCAAGGAGGACCCGTCGTGCTCATGCGAGTCGGGAACCGAAGAAGACGTCTTACATTTGATAGTAGATTGTCCTATATATAATAGACAAAGATACGATGTAGAACAAGAAATAAATATTAAAATAAAACCAGAAAACATAAATAAAATAATAGAGAATAAAGAAACCAGGGAAAAATTTTTAGAATTTTGTAAAACAATAGCGGAAAGGACAATTAAAAGCAATAAAAAGGACTAGTAATATCAATGTGGAATGTAAAAACTTTGGCAAAAATTCAAAATTAGAACTAGTGGTACTTCCTTGAGGGTATTTTCTAATACTCAGAGAGAAGTGCCAGCAAGCAGACCATATTGGTAATACTAAAACCGTAAAATAAAATTAAAAAGAGTAAAATAAAGATAAAAATGTAAGATGTAAATGTAAAATAAATAAATAATGTAAAATAAAATTAAAATGTAAAGTAAGATAAAATGTAAATTGAGTAAAAATGTAAAATATAAAAGTAATTAATCTGTAAAATTCATTCATTCGTAAAATTCATAAAATGTAAAAATGTAAAGCAAAATTGACTGTAACTAAAAAATTAAAAAAATGTAAAATGTAAAAATGTAAAGTAAACTGGATTATAACTAAAAATTCAAAAATGTAAATGTAAAAATGTAATAACTTAGAAAGATGAACAAGGTCTCTGACTCAAAATTGTCGGGGGTGTAAGCCAGAGCGGCACCAAGCCGCTCTATAAAAAAAAAAAAAAAAAATAACCTAACCTAACCTACCTACCTACGGACGGGTCGGGGACCCTGTGGCGCCAATTGTGGCGGATGGCCCTCCTCTCTCGTGTTCTGAGGAGGGTTTCATCATAGGGTGATGGGAGGGGTCTAAGATATGACCCCTCCCTACAAGTGTCGAGCCCCTACCAAGGGGGGGGGGGCTCCCCCCTAGCCGGGCCGGGCCGTAAAGTAACGTAGATGCCACGGTCCGGTTGGGCGTAGGAGAGCACCGCGGGGTTTAGTGGGTAGTTCGGTCTTGTTCCCAGGCTGGGAGTCCCACACGAAACCGTCCCTGCTGCCCCCGCAGCACGGACGGCGAAGTGCATAAACGCATTTCCCGCGTTAAAAAAA